TTTCCATGACGAAGCTTCATTCTTAAATTAATATTTCACTACAAATGGGTATCCATCTACCTATTTTATAAAGCCCTACGCAAATTTCTAAGTCAGAAATTCAACCCCAAACCTGCATCTGCTACAGTTAACAAAGACATTAAATATATAAAATTTCCATATATGGGCGGTCTTAGTTTTGCTATCCTCAGATCAGTTTTCTATTTATTTTTTTACAATAATAACACCATTGGTAATTTCTTAAAGAATAAAGATGTGTAACTCTGTGGGATCCACCTCACGATGGCTCCGCCACCGCATTCTCGAACACAGAGGCAAGTCCATCAGGACAGGCCTGCAACTGAGTAAACCATCCTTCTCAGCAATCAGAGAGCATTCTCACCTCCACAATCACCCTTTCAGCAATACTGATTTCAAAATCTTGACCTCCCATCTTAACAGACTTGACCTCATCATAGCCGAGTCACTCCACATCCAAACAATGAAACCAGAGCTTAACAACACTGCCACTGCAACCACCCTGTTTGCCATATAAACTATCAAAAGAACCCATAGCTTGGTTAGTGCCTGTTACTGCTCACCAACTTGTTTTTACGATCTCTTATTATTTTTCTATTATATTGTTTGTATGTTTTGTATTATAATTTGTTTGTATTTTTAAATTAATTTCATTTGTTGTTTTGTTATAGCACTGATGATGGAGATTGCATCTCCGAAACGTTTGCAATTTCAATAATGAAGTTCTTCTCAGCCGTGTTGGTTTTCTTCTTCCTGATAAGAATTCGATTCCCACGGGACTCATCTATAACCCATTATATATAATATATATATATATATATATATATATATATATATATATATATATATATATATATATATGCATGTTTAATTATAAATATATATATACAGGTATATATTTATACATAAAGATATACACAGTAATATATATATATATATATATATATATTATATATATATATGTGTGTGTGTGTGTGTGTGTGTGTGTGTGTGTGTGTGTGTGTGTGTGTGTATACGAATATATATATATATATATATATATATATAATATATATATATATACAAACACACACACGCGCATCCACCCTTGACTTCCACCTATGAGGAATCCTCATGGCAAGCCGCCAGGCAGGGACTCAGCCCATCTCGAGCTCCTCACGACAGGTTTGATTGATCTGTCCAAGCCACGACTTCCTAGGTCGACCCACAGGCCTCCTTCACCCAGGGTTATCTCAAGCAGAGACAACCAGATGGGCAAGATCTTCCTGTGGGAAACGAGCCAGGTGGCAGTATAGCCTGAGTTGGCGATCACAGATTGTGCAGATAACAGGTCCTGTGCCAGTCTCATGGTGCAACCGTTGGTTGACACATGGTCCCGCCAACAATACCCTATGATCCAGCACAAGGACCTATTACAGAAGGCATCAAGACGAGACTCCAAGGCACTGGATAAAGTCTAGGTTTCACTACTGCATAGCAAAACTGGCATTATCAGGGCCTTGAAAACCCGTAGCTTGGTCCTTCTGCACAGGTAACAGCATCTCCAAATACTCTTGTCGAGAGAGTTCATGACCTCTGCTGCCAAGCCAATCCATCTGTTGACTTCTTGGTCTGACCGCCCAAAGTTATGAACTACACTACCAAGGTATGTAAAGCTCTCTGTGACTTCAGTGTCCTCGCTGCAAGCACGTACCGACCGAACAGGGCCTCCTGACAAGTCGCCAAAGTCCTGGGCCCGGATTCACTAACACACTTATGATGGTAAAATCACTGTTAATTATAGTTACCATGTTAACCAGACAGCGGTGGTATTCACTAACAACTTGCCATCGAGTTACCATGGTAAATTTTACCAGTGGTCAGAGAACTGGTAACTTCTTGGAAGACGATGTCACACGTGTTATCTCGTCAAAAAATCAGTATCTAAGCTAAGTTTTGGGTTTGTTTTTACACCTGATGTAACTAATATGATGGCAAACACATATCGCAATACGGATATAGTAAAGAAATGTAAATTTTACATGAAACTAACAAGAAAAAAATCCACGCAAATTCTCGTATAATTATAGGCCTATATTATACTAGAATGCATGAAATTGATAGATATGTAAACTCATAGAATTCTTCTCTGACATAGTTATCACAAATGATATAGAAAACTACCTTGCTGATATATAAACTGGCAATACTAGCGCTAAATGAGTTTAGCAATTTTTGTGTCGGTATTTTGACAATAAACTCCAAAGTGCATGGGCAAGAATAAGCTTGAAATATTTCCTTTGACGACAAATAGCGTTTACTAAAAATTTGGGTCCGGTTCTTTAACAGTGATGAAAAAAAAATGTTTGGACTAGTATTATATAATATGTTTATAATGAAATTTATTAATAATGTATGAATAAAAGTGTTTGTATTGGTTCCTATCTATACAGTAAATATATATCCCACATGATGGATATGATCAAATTAATATATTAATTCTTCTTAGTTGTACTTAAATAGTGTTTAGCTGAGATTTTTCTTAAATCTCGCTCTGTATACTTCTGCCCATCAGGTCGTCTCTGTTAGAGACAACCCTGGGTGGAGGAGGCCTGTGGGACGACCTAGGAAGCCGTGGCTTGGGCAGATCGACCAAACCTGCCGTGAAGAACTAGAGATGGCGAGTCCCTGCCTGGCGTCTAGCCATGAGGGTGGATGCGGTTATGCGCCCCCGTTGGCGTCAGCCCCCTTGATGATGATGATGATAGTTCTGTTTACATGTTATGTGATTGGCCGAAGGAACCTAAAAGATTATGTATAGTGCTCGCTGATTGGTGGAATTGCTTTACTAGAGCCCTCTGTTGGCTACCATTAGAATGAGTCGATTTACGATTGTAACCCAGCATATCCAAATTGCCATTTCTTCGTGCATACCACTTTGTCATCACTGGTAAATGCGATGGTAAATGACTGCTGGTAAATGCGTTACGATCGTATGTTAGTAAATCCGGCCCCTGGATCTTGGTCTTCGTCCAGGAGACCTCTAGACCCAAGGGCTTCGCTTCATTACTAAATGCATTGTGAGCCACCACTATGGTTTCCAAAGACTCAGATAGAATTGCAACATCAGCAAGGTCATGCTCTGGAACCTAGATATGGCCCGTGTTGCTCCACAATGACTTTGAAAAGTAGCTCTGCCAAGTATTGAAAGGTGTTGGTGCAAGAACACAGCCTTGCCTCACTCCTGAACAATCAGGAAAGAAGCTCGACAAGCCCCCACCACACTTGACAGCATTGTCAGTACCAATATACAGCCTTGCTATTAGTCCAATAATCCTTGTTGGAATTCCTCTCAGTCACAGGATCTCCCAGAGTGATTCCTGATGCACTGTATTGAATGCATTCTTGAGGTCGATGTAGGCTGCAAGCAGCCCACACCAGAACTCACGATGGCGCTCAACAATGACTTCAAGCGCAAGGATACGGTCTACTGTGGACTTACCAGGAGTGAATCCAGATTGCTCCAGCCTCTGATGCCTCAGTAGGTGGTCTCTCATACGTCTCAGAAGGATGTGGGCAAGAACCTTGCCGGGTATAATGAGCAGTGTGATGCCTCGGTGATTGCTGCTGTCCCATCGGTCCCCCTTCCCCTTCTAGAGAGGGATGCACAGCATGCAACCCACACCCCATAGGTTCACCACCAGCCTTTAACAGTTCAGCTGGAATGCCGCAAATACCCGCTGCTTTGCCACTCTTCAGCTTGGAAATCGCCTCCTAACTTCAGTTAGGGGATGGGTCCGGCAGCGGAATCACGGCACTACCCGCATCCAAGTTAAATGTTGGTGGGTCAACCTGGTACAACAGCTCAAAATGCTCAGCCCAACATTCCCGCACCACAACATCTGAGACGATCTGGCCACTTCCATAGCAAACTGCTGTCACCTGTGATGAGGGTTTGAAGTTCAGTTTTCACAGGGCTTGGTATACAGATTGAAGGTCATTTACTAAGAAATGTCCTTCGACCTCCTCAGCAAGACTCCTAATAAACTTGTCCCTTCTTAACAGAGACCAAGTTGTACGCACCTGAGAATGGTGCAATTCCCGATCCCCTGTCAGACTAGCCGCACAGCAAGCATCTGTGGCTTCCAGTGTCTCCTGTGAGATAGAAATCTGTATTGTCCTCGGGCGTTCACCAATTGACTCGGCTGCATCAAGCATTTCGCGCTTGAAGGTGTCCCACAGAAGTACAGATTGTCGAGCGCTGTGAAACATTCAGAGATTGCCTCAGCAAACCCCAAGCACACTCCTCCTTCAGGCTGTCCAGATGAAACACCCTAGCGTGATCATTGGGCCGTATATATATATATATATATATATATATATATATATATATATATATATATATATATATATATATATATATATATATATTTGTGTGTGTGTTTTGTGTTGTGTGCATGTATATATTAAATGTGTATATCTTCATGTATAAATATATACCTGTATATATATATATATATATATATATATATATATATATATATATATATATATATATATGTATATATACTGGTGTTTTTGTTATCTATATGTGTTACTTTGTTTGTCCATCTGTCGCTCTGTCTCCTGCATCCAATCTCTTAGGCCAATTCCCAGCATTGACCTTTTCATCCCTCTCCGGGCACTAACTACTTTCCTCTCCAGTAGTTTGGTGGCACTCCATATACCTGATCTATATGTCATGACTGGAAGGACACATTGGTTATAGACCTTTCTAAACTTAAAGGCAAGGAACTTCTTAGTATGCTACTGTGTCTGTCGAAGGCTTACCAGCCTAGAATAATGCTTCGCTTTCTTTCCTCTCCACTGGATGTGTTTTCTGTATTAGCTTCCCTTGATGTATATATTCGTCCACTACGTCTAGCACTGCGCCTTGTATATGTATCTTTTCGAACAGAACTCTACTGGTGAACATAAGCTTAGTCTTTTTCCTATTCATATGA